TTTACGTAATAAGTAATTACCTTGCCCATCTCTATAAGCAATTCATCACTTTTATTCTCAATAATCATGCCATATCACATAAATGATTAATCACTCACATTAAATCATCACGAAATTGGAAATTTTCGCCCATATGTCAATGAACATATACTATGACGTTTGACGTGACGTATGTGACGTGACTTTAATATGATTATATATAAATTTTATATGACGTAAAGAGTGACGTACTACCTTGGACCTTCTAAATGTCTCATTATTTTTGGGACATCTGGTAAAAATTGACCGAATGATTATTTAGCCGATTCGATAAGTTTTTGAAAAATTTTTGATGCGTGATTTGTAATATAGCGATAATGATATATATTTTTTGCGATTGTATCCTGAACGATACTAAACGATACTACAATGTCAACACATCCAAAATTAATTTTTCGCTTGAATGTATGTCTGTACGAAAATTTATGACGAAGATTGTTCTTGCCAAATAACAGATTTGACAAACAAAAAGGGTTCTGAATATAAGATAAACTTTCATAATAAATATATTACACAAAGAGCGCTACCGGTAATAAAAAAACAAGTTCAATATGAACAAGAATTTATTGACTGGACTAAAGAAAATATAACTTAAGTTATAATTCCTAACAACCAAGTTTTTATTAATATTTGTCGAAACCGCATATAGTAAAAATTTCATTTATTTATTTACTGTAATATAAATTAATAGACCAAAAAGCAAATCAGTATGAAACGTTGATCTAAGAAACCATTAACTTATTCGTCTATGGTAAACATTTTAAAAATGCCTAGTTTGTCTGTTATTGAATCTTAAATATCCAACTTGTAACAACTGAATCTAGTATAATCTGAAGCGCAAAAATAGTGATATCGATATACATTATCTCTGTCATTAGAAAGTTCATTACCGAAATCAAAAACTTATCGAATCGGCCAAACAATCATTCGGTCAATTTCTTACTAGATGTCCCAAAATTAATGAACATCTGTAAAACATAAAGCATAAAATTTTTTAAATTTTTAAATTTTGACCCGGCCGGGTTATGAAAACCAATTAGTAATAACGATAACAAATGAATTAATTAATCTACTGTAATACTGACGTCTTTTGGTTGGCTATTTAAGCCAAAAATATGAAATTAACATTTTCAAAGATGTTTATAAATAATTATTAAAGGTATTTTAAAAAAGATATAACCAAATTTATATGTATAACAATCTAAGGAATATGATACATTCTCAAGTATATATTTCTGAATAAAAGATATGTTTTAGATCAGTGTTGGCAATTTTTGCGGCCAAACAATTTTTTAGGGCCGGCCAACCAGTGTTACAACCGTGGGAGAGACTTGGCTAACATGAGCTCAGGGTTGTAAACATAGGTTATGCGAGATGAATGTTCATTAGGGGGATTCGGAATTAATGATAAAGGGTTATTAAGGAATGTATTTATTTATTCAGTTATTTAATCGAAGCAAAAAGATGTCAATTCATTCTTATGTTCTTTATTAGTTTAGCTACCAAGATCAAATGGTCCTGGGCCAAGATCTTGGGTCTCAGACCAATATCGGTGGTCCTAGACCAAGATCTATGGTCTCAAACCACGATCTGTGGTTCTAAACCCAGATCTCCCACATCATACAATAAACAAATATAGTAACGAATACTAATACAATAATAAAAAAAAACATTACAAAGAAAACTCAAACACAATTTCGTAACATCAGCCAACGGCCAAAAATTTCTAATATTAATGTGACAACACTGTTTTAGATAGCGATAGTTGTTAACGCAAATAGGAACCTATTGCTAAATTAACTTTTATATTCTTGGATTTTTTTATTTGTCTAATTTAATTACTGTACGTAGTGTGGTTTATTTTTTTTATAAATATTTATATATAAATATATATATATATATACTATATATATATATATAATTTAATTTTATTATCAAAGTAATATATAAGAGTATATTTATTTCTCACCCACATTAGAAAATTTTAAAATTTTATTACTGCTATTTTCATAATTCCTGGAACACCTGATAAAAATTGGTGAAATGTAACAGACCCGGGTCTTGTATCCGGCCATTTATGGTACTTTTTTCGAGGTTCTAAAAAATTATTTCAAATAATAATTAGTTTAATACAGTAATAGCTAAATATTTATAATAATGTAAAATTTTGACAATTTTGTAATTTATAATTAAATTTTATAATTTTAGCTTATTACAGTATTAAATTATAAGATAGTTATTTGATAATAAAATTATTTAAAATAAAAATAGTTAAAAATATATTAAATATATACTATATACAGTATATATACAGTAGATAGTAAATTATTAATAGTAATTAATATCTATTTTATTTTGTATAATTAAATTATTACTAAACTAAATTATCTAAATGACCTAATTTAAAAATTAAACTATATCTGATTGATATTGGTAAATTAAACTAGTTTAAATAATAATTTTAATTGTAATTAAAAATGTTAAATACTACGTAGTATTAGTTATAACAGATTTAAAACTAGACTACAAATAGATATTAGCAAAGTTGGCAATAGGCTCCATAGAGTTCAATAGATATATACTTATCTATTGAGGCTTAGTAAAATTGCCAATTCTGAGTACTGTATTAGATATATTCACATAATACACAGTAGTTATAAAAAATTACCAAATGTTTTTTTACTCACTAATCGGTCTTCTATTACCTTTAAAAATTTAGTGCGAATACAAAGCTTTTGGAAATATATCATTTTATATTAGAGTACTAACCGTCTTATAAATAAACATGATAAGTGCAGTATTTTATTTTTATTTTATTTTTAAGAAAACCGGATATTTTATCAGGATTAATAATATTTGGTGTGTTTATTAGTATTCTAATAGGGTTAAATTTATTATTACAATGTTCGTCAATTTGATGGAATCTAGAGTCTAATCAACTTTACAGATGTAGGAAACGCAGAATACTTATTCACAGATGTAGGAAACGCAGAATACTTATTCACAAGAATTACATAAATTTAGTTAATTATTTACTATCTGAGTTCTGAGTTCGGCATATAAAGGTTCAGTATAGAAAGATAATTTTATACTAAAGCAGTAACTTTTTGATATTAATATAGATTTTTTTGGTAATGCCACGTGAATTTGCGCTGACCGTGGAATTTCTGTAAACAATTACTGCAGAAACATAAATATGATCTGTATCTGTTGATGTGCAGTGCGTGGTTTCGATCGCAGATCTTAAAATCACCGAATTCTTTCCCTCCTTCCTTTATACTGGACAAATTACAATTAAGAATACTTAATCTTTTTAATAGAGATTAGGCAAAGGATCTCAACTGAAAAAATAATTTGTTACGTAGGTTACGTAAGCACTAAAAAGGTTCTTAACGATACATATCCTTTAACTATCAAAAATGACAAAAACTTGTAAAAATCTCGAATGTGTTATTTGTTGTGATCAAAAAGACAATATATTGAATATGACAATTCAATGTACTCATGAACCATCAACTTGTCAAGATTGTATTAATAAATATGTGAACAATCAATTAAGCAAAAAAAATATATTGATCAAATGCCTCGTTGATGAATGTGATAGTACAATGGAATATCAGGATGTTAAACGTGTTGTTTCTAATGAACTTTTTCTCAAGTAATTTGTTATTTTTATTATTTTTATTATTGTTAAATTTTCAGAAAATTACCCTAGTATCCTTAATTTATCTTGTAGATTTGATGATGTTTGTTTAAAACTTGCTCTTCAATCAGAACCTGGTTTTCGTTGGTGTCAAGGCAGATCTGAATGTGGCTCTGGACAAATTCACATTGGAGGAGGCATGTAGTTTATTAAATACATCCGAGATTATTCTTTTAAACATTTAAACATTAATATATTTATATACTTCATTCATAAAAAAGATGAGGCACCTAAAATGATTTGTGAAAGATGTGGAAGAGCAACTTGCTACACACATAATTCGCCTTGGCATGAAGGTCTAACTTGTCAAGAATATGATGCTAAAATTGGTAAGGTTGATATAGAATCCCGAACTTATCTGGAAAAAAATACTAAACCTTGCCCAAATTGTGGAATTCATATTCAAAAAATTGATGGATGTGAGCATGTAAAATGTAAAATTGAAAGTTGTCTTATGGAATTTTGTTGGTTGTGAGTATTTTTTACGTTTTTTTTTTTAGACAAATTTCTTGAAAAAAAAATTAACTATTATTATATTATTGCTAAAGGTGCTTAGGAGATTGGCTAAAAGGAGAACATTTAAGAAATTGTGCGTTATATGAAGGTGTTGAAATTGTTGTATCTGATTCATCTGATTCATCCGATTCATCTGAAGACGAAAATGAAACCTATATTGAAGAAGATATTTCAACTTTAGATTCAGAAGAAGAGGAAGATACCGACTCATCTGAAGAATTGGCACGAGATTATTTTGATGATACATCTGAGGAAGAACACATTATTTCAACAGATGAAACAGATTCATCAGATGATCTTGATACCGATTCATCCGACGATCTTGATACCGATTCACCCGACGAAGAACAATTGTCATCTGATGAAGACGAATCATCTAAATCAACATTATCTGAAGAATCAACATTGTCTGAAGAATCGGCATTAACTGAAGAAGTGGCATTATCTGAAGACTCGTCATCTGAAAAATCAACTTCACTTGAAGAATCGACATCATCTGAAAAATCAACTTCACTTGAAGAATCGACATCATCTGAAAAATCAACTTCACTTGAAGAATCGACATCATCTGAAAAATCAATTTCGTTTGAATCATCTGAAGAAAATGATACTCTTGAAGATTCTTATGACTCGTCTGATTAGTACATTCACACAGCATGGTTTTGATTTTTTTAAATACACTTACTAATTAATTAGCTTAGTTTTAATACGGTAGATATTGCATATACATTACTTATGATGTTTGCCATTCAATTTTAATAATGGACTTTGAATTTTAATGCTATTAGTTTAATTTCTCGTGAATTCCTGCATACAGCCTCATTTTTCAATTCATAAAATCAAGTTTTCAAATTTATTAAAGATTTTACTCATTCTTGGAAATTTTTGCAAGTGTATTGTAACCGGACTTTAACGGCTAGTGTTTTATTCGTTTCGATATTAGTTATTTGGTAATATTTTTAGTATTTTAAAGTATTCGCACATACTATATTTTGTGTTCACAAAAACGGCTAGTACGATTAACTCCGGTACAGCGTTTAAATTTAAATTTGCACTTACGGGTTTTAATTTGGCATAACCCATATATTTAATTTGTTTTCATAGATGATTGTGCTCAATAAGCATTCAATAATCATGATAAAGACGTAATCTACAACTTTAAACCTTATCAGTTATATAACCCCTAAAACTGTTTTTTTGCGTAGGTAGATCAGTAGTAAGTTTATATGCGTTTATATTAAACGAATAATAAAAAGTTTTAACAATTTAATACAACTAGCTCTTTCATTTTAAAATAAATGAACAAATTCACCATGCGTTAGAAAAACATCGATCGACTTTTAAAACCCATTTGCCAAAAAATATTCAGTTTTTAATTTAAAAAAAAAAAAAAAAAAAAAAAGTATTCGAATCAACGAATTAAAGAAAGAAAGAAAGAAAAAAAAAAGCTATATTATTAGAAAAAACAGTTCAAATATAACCCTTATTTTTCGCCAATGTTATCTGTCTTCATTTCAACCTTTAAATTACTATCATCATCACTACTCGCTTGATCATCCATACCCCCATTTTCACCAACCTTTTCAATTATCCAGCTATGTAAGCACAAAAGTGGTCGGGCAATTTCTGGATTTAGCTTACCTCGTGATTTGTAAATAGTTGAACTGGAAATGGAAAAAGCATGTTCGCAAGAAACGCTCGATGCTTGAATTGTAAGATAATCTTGTGCCATCGCGGCAAGAACCGGAAACTTTTTTTTGTGGGCTTTCCACCATATCAAGGGTTCACAATCCTCACCACCAGGCAAAGAAAGATATTGTTCTAACTCGTTGCTTGTGATAGGTTGTGTAACTGGAAGGAATTGATTTGTAAGAGATCTAAGATGTGCTCGAGCATCAATTCTATTAAATGTTGGAGAATGATACGATGATAAGAGTGTTGGATCTGATGTGGGTGGTATAACAGAGTCAGAGCTTTCAGGAATATCTAAAGATGTAGGCGTGTAAGAAGCCATCATAGCCCGAATAGAATTTATCACATTTTCAGTTTCTGATCCTTGTTGAAAAATTGTGCACTTTGTACGCGGATCCAACACGGATGCAATTTTTGAAGTATCATCGATAATTGACCAATATTGATCCAAAATACGAAGTATAGAATCAGCCACAGTGTTTCGAGTAGCATTAACTGATATTTCATGCTGTAAATGTTGTCTTAAAATCCAAAGAGTAAGTTGAAAATCACCCATTGTTGGGTATACAGATGAAGAAAGTGTTAAAGCAGCCGAATAAAATGGGGATAAGACAGTAAGCAATTCCTGAATAAATTTAAATAAAAATAAAAATAAAAATAAAGTTCATTAATTCTGTATATTAAAATAAAAATACTAATAAACATTATCACGTTATATAATGTTATATAATGTTATAAATAAAAGTTACTTACATTTATATTTGACCAATCATTATCATCAGGGTACGAATCGATAAATTCACCTTGATGTTGTAAGAAAAGCATATTCGTTTGTATTTGCATTTGTTTTACCTTTTCAATCATCAAATACGTTGATCTCCATTGAGTTTCATTGTCGATTTGTGGAACCAAAAACGGTATTTTTTGATCCTCGAATATACGACGCAAATCTTCGATCAATAGATTAGAATTTCTGACTTTGTTAATAAATTTTCGAACTTTTTCAATTGAATTATTATGAGCTTGAAGTCCATACTGTACAGCAACATTGAGAACGTGGGCACCACAACGATAATGTGAAAAACCAAGATTATTAAATTCTTTATTCGTTTCCAATTCCATTTCATGATCGAAAACAATGGTGGACGGTGAATTATTTGTTGTCAATGCTAGTATTTTTGGAGAAAGATCCAATTCAGTTAACAAATTAGATAAAGATTGAACAATATTTGCCTCTGATTGAGAGTCACGAAGTGGAATTATATCTAATAAGAAGCGTTTAAATGTCCAATCATCATCAATGTAATGAATAGTGACACTAAAATATGCGCTCTGATTGCTATCTAAAGTCCACACATCACCAGTCAAAGATATCCTACTTTTAATATTTCCTAAATCATTATGTAATCTTTCACGACGGTTTTGAAACCTTTTAACAACATGAGATTTTATATACTGTCCTCTTGGTAAATGATAATGTGGATCAAGTTTTTTTATCATTTCGATAAACGACTCTTCCTCTATCACAGAAAAAGGTTGCATTGTTGATACTATCCAATTAATCAAAGATCTACTTCGTTCAAAATTATCTTGTCGGGTATACGGAGTTACTTTCCGAAAATTTAAAGTCGTTCGAGTTTTTCGTTCAAAATCAGTCTGTTGAGCACCTCGTTCAAATTCGGATTGATGATTCCTTCGTAAGTGAGTTTTTAAAGTACCAGTTGAAGTTTCACCAATTCCAGCATACATTTTTTTACATATTTTACAAGTTTGAGATTCTTTTGTTCGTTCAAAGAACTCGTCCATTGGAGATTTTGCATTATTTTTTCTTCTTATAGGACCCCCACTTGATTGTTGAGATTCTTCTGGATTTGAACCTACATCAGAAGGTTCAGGTCTGCTAAGAAATTCTTGGCCGTTCGAACCATTAAAATTAAAAGAGTTATCTGCGTTTTGTTCACTTTTTAAGTCAGACATTATGACTAGAATACTAAAGAGAAAAAGATTTGATAACTCTGATTAAATATCGATATGTATGGTGCTTCATTTAGTAGTATATTCTGTAGCCGGTCCTAACCTACCGGTTTTAACCGGATCATCATCATACAATCTGTTAAGATTTGTAACCGATCACACTATAATTGGGTTAATCGGTTATACTCGGATTCTCATTAGCGTTAAGATTAACACGGCTCCAGGGGTTAAAGGAAATCGTGTTTCCTTGACAATTGAAGAAACTGAATCAAAAACTAACCAGCCCAAACTTTTTAAAAATTGTATTTTCTAAATAAAATGTCTGACAATTTCGCAAATTTGAAACCACAGTCTAAAATGGTTAGACTAATTGAATTATCGAATTTGTAACCTTATCTTTTGTTTCAGGTTGTAAGAGTTTAGAATTATATATTTTAGATATGTCAGTTTTTTAGTCATTGTTCCTTTTTGCCTTCTTTTACAAATTCTTTGTCTTGTTGTGTTAGTTCCTATTATGTTCACATGTTTTTAATCTTCAAGTGGGTTATTTCGAATTGTACTTGTACTTATTCGACTTGATATGTAAATACGGCGAAGAATAAAAATACAAATAACAGAACAAATAAAGGAAAATCCTGTAAAAATAGATGAAATAATAAACAAAGTTCTTCCTGCATTAAGATATTCGGTGGGATCAACGGATGGTGTAGGTAGTGCGGAATAAGATGTTGTGGTTTCGACGGGTGTAGTAGTAGTAGCAGGTGGTGCGGAATAAGATGGTGTGGTTTCGACGGGTGTAGTAGTAGTATAGCAGCCGGTGCAGCGGCAGTCGGTGCAACAGCAGCTGGTGCAGGAGCAACTGGTGCAGGAGCAGCTGGTGCAGCAGATGGTGGGGCAGCTGGAGCAGCTGGTACAGTTTGTGTAGAACACGATGTTGTGGTTTCGATGGATGTAGCAGCAGATGGAGCAGCGGGTAGAGGAGCAGGTGAAGCAGCAGCAGGTGTTTCAGGGCTAGGGATGAGTTTAGAGCTAGGGCTAGATAGTATTGGAGTAACTGTAAAATGATGTGTTGTGGTGAATAGGTGTGAAAGAAGTAGGTGAAAGGATAGGTGAGAAGTTAGAACTAGAGGGATTCGCAGAGGAAGGTTAGGGCTGGAAGTCGTCGGTTGCAGAGTAACTTTACGGGTTTGAGAAGAAGAAACTGTTGAGTGAGGTGTAGTGGTTTTTGTTGTAGGTGAATAGATAGGTGAATATCTAATAACTAGAGCCAGTCTTACCATAAAGAAAATTAAAGATGCAATTAAGCAATAATATATGACTTTTTTATTCATAATGTATATATATATATCTATTATTTAAAAATTTGAATTTCTATACGTATCTTTTTCTTTTTAAAGAATCTAATTATTGTTACTGTTTAGGTCTAGGTACTCTGATTCTTATAAGATTACCAATTTTAATCTCTAGTTATAGGAAATTAATAGCGTGTCAATGACGCTTTACTCTTTATTTATTATAATAATTTTACTAAATTTTAATTTTTATTATTAGACAGTACATTATAGACTTTTTGAGATCGAAACTTAAGGGAGGGGGGGTATTATGACGCACTTAAGGTTTGCACATATGAAATTTTTTAGAAAAGGCATATTTATTCACAAAATTTAACGAAATAAAATAACAAACGATTTACTATTTAATTAGGCGTTGCTACCCTGCGATGTGCTTATACATCGCACTTTAATGAATGACCAATCAAATTTCAAAATTAAATGTAACGTAACAAACAGAATAGATTCAAAACAACGTTCATCATTTATAATTCAAAATTTTACATATGAAAGTATCCTCTGCGCTCTAACAAAAAAAGCTTCTCACGAAATTTTACTATAAAGCTCCTCTAACCCTAACCCTAGCCCGTACACTACTCTCACCTCACCTTAACCCTAACTAAACAAAAAACGTGATTTATTTTAGACAAATTATAATCTATATATATGCGACGTATAAGCACATCGCTAGTGTATCCTCTGCGCTCTAACAAAAAAAGCTTCTCACGAAATTTTACTATAAAGCTCCTCTAACCCTAACCCTAGCCCGTACACTACTCTCACCTCACCTTAACCCTAACTAAACAAAAAACGTGATTTATTTTAGACAAATTATAATCTATATATATGCGACGTATAAGCACATCGCTAGTAGCGACGTGTAGATTTATTCTAAAAAAAAAATCGAATTAAAAATAAAAAACCTTCGAAATTTGAAATTTTAAATCTATTTTAAAACTGCTATGTTTTTTAGGGTGGGGGGTATTATGACGCACGTCGGAAATTATTAAATTACTGGATATAGTAAAGATTAACAATTTCAAATAAGTAACATAATCCTTATTTAATTTTTCGTAACCGTTCTTTTTTTTTGCTCTCTTTTAGCTTTTTTTTGTGCTTTCTCTGCTTCACGAATAGCTCGTTTCTGAGCTGCTTCCTCTTTTCTTTTTTTTGTTTCTTCTGCCTTGTTCTTTGCTAACTTATCTATTTCTTTCAAAGCACTCAGGGATTCTTCATTAGTAAGAAGCCGGGCAAACGGTAAGGTCTTTCTTTTTTTTGACTGATTAGACTCTTTTTCATTGCCTTGCACCGGCACTCAAGAAGTAGGATACTTGAGGACTAATTTTAGTGAGCAGGTACCAGGACTTTTTAATGTCTCAAGTTCCTCCTTTAATAACTTATTTTCTCTCTTTAAAGTATAGATTTCTGCTAATAGTTCGTTTTCCCTAGTAATATTAGCTTGGCTTGAAGATAGCACAGAAGAATAGTGATTTTGTTGAAAAGAAGAAGAAGGGATAGAAGATGATGATATAGAAGGTGAAGAAGACAATATAGAAGATGATATAAAAGACAAAGAAGATGGTATAAAAGACGAAGAAGATGAAATAGAAAATGAAGAAGATGATATAGAAGATGAAGAAGATGGTATAGAAGATGAAGAAGACGGTATAGAAGATGAAGAAGATGGTATAGAAGATGAAGAAGACGGTATAGAAGAACAATAATTTTGTTGAGAAGATGAAGATAAAAAATCAATTCGTTCGGTAGATAAGGAGAGATCAAGATGATCAGGGCTAATGGCATTAGGATTAAAAGGCCAAATCCCTGTAGCTCTAAAGGCATTGGTTATTATTGAAGGAGTGTAGGTTTTAATATATGCTGATCCAAAAATTTTAGCAAATGTGAACTTTGTTACTAGTTTAGTAGTTTCTTGGTGAAGTTGGTTGCAGCCATTGCTATACTCGGTTTTAAGCTTAGCAAAAGAAAGTTCGGATGGCTGTAGAATATGCGTCGTATAAGGTGGAAGTGCATATAGCAAAATTCCATTCTCATGACAAAAATTAACACTTGTATAATTAACATGGCTTTTGTGGCCATCTAGCATTAAAAGAACTGGACGACGAGGAGGAATCGAACTTATAAAGTGTTCAATATACATCTGGAAGAGTTACTCATGCATATATTCTGAATTGGTAAACCCTATAACTGTACTAGGTGGTGCACCATTTAGCAAGCCAGGAATTGCACGAACACCCTTGTATATTATTAACGGAGGGATATAGCTACCGGCAGCTGAAATCGTTGGTGCAACAGAAATATAATCATGCGAGTTACCATGGGCAACCTTATGGATTTGACAGGAGCCCTTGGCGGCAATAACTTTTTGAACATTGGGAGCTATAAATTATTAGGGTTATTGTTTTGATTTATTAAGGGTTTATTCTGCACTATTATGCAAGAAGAATTTAACGAATATACATCAAATCTATTAGATTATCTTGAAACCCATTAGATTATCATCTAATTATTAGCCTGAGCATACTAAAATACACTGTTTGGCATTGTTGTATAGTGTTAAAAATAAACCTTCCACCTCAAAAATAATATAATTAATTGTCTAATAAGCTGTTTGTTAAATAATTGCATTGTCAAATAATCTGTATTACTATCAAAAAGTTTTAGGATACAGGGTTCTCTTCTCTATATAGAGATACATATTGGCCTATTTGTTAAAGTTTTTTTTAGTGTGCGAAATTTGCAATCGTATATGCTATACAATAAAGAATTTATATGCATATTATGCTATTGCAGATATGTACTAGCCCTAGGCTAAGATTAGTTTAGGTGCATAGTTTAAGCTAGTTTATTTAAAAGTAAAGTGTAACAGTATGATTAAAAATCCATCTGATTGGTTGTCGATCCTTGAATTTTTATTGGCTAATTAGGGTAAACGTCTATATAAAAATACAATTAGTTATAAGAAAACTCGCCAATGAATCTGATTATACCAGATTAAATTTACCAGAAACAAGTAATGTCGAAGAACTAAATTTCTGTATAATTTTGTTAATAGTTTATTATACAAATTTGTTACTTCCTATTTGAAAGTAATAAATTTTCATAATTAATAGCTAGCAAAATTTTAAAGAAATTTAGTTCTCTAACGTTACTTGCTTCTGGTAAATTTAAACTGGTATAATCAGATTCGTTGGTTAGTTTTCTTATAACCGATTGTATTTTCATATAGACGTTTACCCTAATTAGCCAATAAAAATTCAAGGATCGATAACCAATAAGATGGATTTTTAATCATACTGAGTATAACTATTTCTAAATTTATATAAAATAGATTGTAAATCAATGTTGTGTAACTAATATCATATGGTATCAAGTATGGCAAACATTCGATTTTATTGGTTTAAAGATTACTAAGTTACACAATATAAATAAAAATTTTCAAAGTAACCCTTACTATAAAAAACCATATCGTTAATTAGCAACTTGTGGTTTTATACAATAAATTTTTTTTAAAAACATCTTAAAGTATTTTTTACTTCTTTGTATGTCTTTAGTGAAAAAAGATCAGTATAGATTATTATTACTAAAGATTTTATTTAGAGAGCAAATTTAAGTGAATTTAGATAACTAATAAAGTAATAAGCTTCAAATTCGAAAAAAATTTAAGTTTTATTAGCTAATTTTAGTAAAGTTTTTTTAGAAAAAGTGATATGCCAGACTGAGTAAGCTTAAATCTTATCAGTATTAGAGCAAAAAGAAAAAATTTAGCCACTTTAATACTATTAAAGTAAGATTAATATGATTATGATATTATAATTATAAAATATACATGACAACTTAATCTTCTTTTCAATTTTTTTAATTTTAATACTATGTTGATAATTGTAACCAAGTTCATAAAGTCCATTTTTTTAAAAAAAAAACTATGCATTAAAAATTATAAACCTTAATAGCATAGGTTATTTGAGGAAGAACTAATAATAAGTATTTTTTTTTTGACATTTTATTAATTTATTAAATAGATTTTATAAAATACTGTATAAAAAATTTAAATAACTTATTATTTATTTTTTTTTTGCACAATAGCATAATAGTAAAGACAAATATAATGCAATAGAAAAAATTAATATAATAGAATAATAAGAACAAATATAGAAAATATGATAGTTAGAATAGGCATAACATAATAGTCAAAATAAGATATAGCACAATAGTTAGAATAGAATATAGTATAATAATTATAATAGGTAGTATAATAGTTAGAATGAAATATAGCATTAAAATTAGACAGATATAGTATAATAGTATATAAACATAGTACAATAGTTAGATTTGGAATATAATATATAGTATAATAATTAGATTCAAATATAATACGATAGTTAGATTTGGATATAGCATGATAGTTAAATTTAGGTATAATATTATAGTTAAATTCAGATATAGCACAATGTAAATTCAAACATAATACTATAGTTAGATTCAGGTACAGCATAATAGTTAGATTTAAGCATAATAACAATAATTAGATTAGAACATAGCATGATAGAGATGTAGTATAATAGCTAAATTCGAGGCATATTATGATAGTTAGATTCAGAATATAGCATGTAATTAAATTTGGGACATAGCATGATAATTAGATTTAGATGTAGCACAATAATTAAATTTGAATATAGTACAATAGTTAGATTTGGGTATATTATAATAATTAGATTCGAGATGTAGTATATAATATAATAGCTAGATTAAAATATAATAAGATAGTTAGATTTGGATATATATATATAGCATAATAGTTAAATTCAGGTATAGTATTATAGTTAAATTAGATATAGCACAATATAGATTCGAATATAATACTATAGTTAGATTTAAATACAGTATAATAGTTAGATTTAAATATAGCAACAATAATTAGATTAGGATAT